GCCAGGATCTGAAAATTCACCCTTCATTCCTTTATAGTTAGCGTCTTCATTCTTCTGTTAAACAAGACTCCCTTGAGAAGAATCTCCACAGAAGTCAGTTACCCCCCAGCATCTTAGCAAAGACACAGGAACAATCTATGCAGTGCAAGCAAAACTTTAGTTTGGTTCAGAGAAAAGAAGAAGCCAGCAAAGACTTCAATCAGCGTGGACTGAATTTGAATCTCTCCCCTTCTCTGCACATAGTAGGCACTCAACAAACACGTATGAAATGAACAAGTGAGAAAACCCAAAGTGTGCAGATATAAGCGGCCCATCTGATATTTGAACATTTATGGGTTTGCTAAATATACCAAGAGCCAGATTCGGTGGATGGGAGGTTGCCATCCCATGGCTGAGGATGCAGAAGCAAGAGGAAGAAAGAACGTGACTGCTTTGGGTGGAAGGGATTTTACGAATCATGAACTACGTTTGACTTTGTGACCTTCGTAGCCTCACATGGCATTGCTTGGAGCAGAACGAACTCCACTCCGTGTAGTTATCAACATGAGCTATATAAGACATTCAAGGCAGGGAAAGCCTTCATCTTCATCTTCTATTGGTAATGAAAGCTGCCATCTTGTTCCCCTCTTTGTGAACTGTGGTTTTGTGTTGGTGGAGAAGGGGCCAAGCACATTGAGGTCATCAGAGAAGGCTTTACTCATCCGGAAAGAAGAGTCACTATGATGCATGCAACTTTCTCCAGTCCAGATGTTTTACCATCCAGAGGTCAGGGGACTTTTTATGATTTAAGACACGGGGACTCTCCTGAATAGAATGGCAGTCTTGAGTTTATCTCGGCCAGCCCTCTTCTCCAGGCAGCACCATTTCCGGCCATTCAGGGCTTCTGCCTCACCCTTAAAAGGGAAAGACGGCCGTGCAGTGGCTTATGCCTGGAATCCCAGCACTTTGGGAGGCCGAGGCAGGCGGATCACCTGAGGTCGGGAGTTTGAGACCAGCCTGACCAACATGGAGAAACCCTGTCTCTACTAAAAATATAAAACTAGCCGGGCATGGTGGTGCATGCCTGTAATCCCAGCTACTCAGGAGGCTGAGGCAGGAGAATCGCTTGAACCTGGGAGCAGGAGGTTGCAGTGAGCTGAGATCGCACCATTGCACTCCAACCTGGGCAACAAGAGCAAAACTCCATCTCAAAAAAAAAAAAAAAAAAAATAGGGAAAGACTGTGCAATTAACTCTAGAGGTAATATTTTAGAACAACTTCCAGACAGAACACTTTCCCTAGATTTAACCTAGTTTTCTCCTGCTGTTACTGAAAATAAAAGAGACAGTGGGATTGTTGCATATTAACCCCACAAAAGGGAGCCAAGGAAAATAATGTAGCTGTATCTACCTTCCACCCCATGTGTGCAAACTTCTCATTGCCACGATTGGAGGTGCAAACAGGAATTAGACTGCATACATTTAAAAAATCAAGACCTAACTTGACAGGGATATTTGCACGCCAAAGCTGTGAGGATTTAGGGGCTAAGAAGAAATCAAACATAAGTTAGAATTTGCTCTTGAAGAAAGGGAAAGGATCATCAGGTTTGACAAAACATGGCTGGGAAAGGGGAGGTGAAAAGCAAAGACTTACAACCTTGACAGTGTCCAAAAGCCTGCCAGTGTCCTTCAGTTTCTTTTTTTCTTTTTGATTTAAAAATGAATGTTCATTTCCATTAATGCCCTGAGAGACATTTTGTTAGTCACTCTGGTCAAGTTAGAGGTGCAACAACAAGTTTCCTCCATTCTTTTTCTTTTTTTTTGGAGATGGGGGTCTCTCAGTGTTGGCCGGGCTGGTCTCTAACTCCTGGCCTCAAGGAATCCTCCCACCTCAGCCTCCCAAAGTGATGGAATTGCAGGCATGAGCCACCATGCCCGCCATTCTCCATTCTTAGGATGACTTCCTGTGCTGATCCACACGAGTAAGTTTGCTGAGTTTCCCCTGTGTATGCAAAGGCAGTAGAGACCATCTCTGGTAAGGACAGCAAAGGAGGATGCCCAAAGTTAGATCAGCACAGAGCACTCATCCAAAAATGTCCAATAAATATCAGCAAGAGACACAAATCAGAGACCTGGGTTGGATAGAAAATCAATGGCATAAAGTGGAGACAGAGAAGAATCTGCAGCCCTAGCATGATTAAGCAGAAGCATGGATAAGGGCACACATTCTGGAGCCAGATGGCCTAAATCCTGCCACCTACTAGCTATGTGACCCAAACCTCCTTGTGCCTCAGTTTCCTCAACTGTAAAATGGGGGTGATCCTGATAGCACCTGCCTTGAGAAGGTTGTATGATAATCAAATGTCAACACAAATTTAAAAACTATAAAAGACCAATCATTCTATAGATGTAGCTATTAACTTCTTATAACCAAAGGGATCCATATTATAACCCTTCTAAAAATTAAGATAGGGAGGGGCCGGGCACGGTGGCTCACACCTTTAATCCCAGCACTTTGGGAGGCCGAGGCGGGCGGATCATGAGGTCAGGAGATCGAGACCATCCTGGCTAACATGGTGAAACCCCGTCTCTACCAAATATACAAAAAAATTAGCCTGTGGCGGGCGCCTGTAGTCCCAGCTACTCAGGAGGCTGAGGCAGGAGAATGGCGTGAACCCGGGAGGCGGAGCTTGCAGTGAGCCGAGATCACGCCACTGCACTCCAGCCTGGGCAACGGAGCAAGACTCTGTCTTAAAAAAAAAAAAAAATTAGACGGGGTTGGTGGCCATCACATTTCACTGCTGTTTCCACATGAGACAGTTCTCATATGAAAATTTTCACTGGTTGATGTCGTGGATTGAAAGATGGCCCCAAAAAGAAATGTCCAGCTAGAACCTGTGAATGTGACCTTATTTGGAAAAAGGGTCTTTGTAGATGTAATTAAGGACCTGGAGATGAGATCATCCTGCAGTAGGGTGGGCCCTAAATCCAATGACAAGTGTCTTTATGGGAAGAAGACACGCAGAGGAGAAGACATCACAGGAAGATGAACACCAGGACTGGAGTGAAGTGTCTGCAAACCAAGGAACACCAAGGATTGCCGGCCACTCCCAGAAACTGGAGAGAGGCCTGGGACGGATTCTCTCTCTGAGCCTCCAGAAGGAACCAACCCTGCCCATACCTTGAGTTTGGACTTTTGACCTCCAGAACTATGAGAGAATACATTTCTGTTGTTTTAAGTCACCAAGCTTGTGGTCAGTTGTTAGGGCAGCCAGGGAAACGAATGCAGATGACATTCTGGGTTTCAAAATCGGAGAAGACTAAAGAAACGCTTGCTTTGGACTTCAACCCTGTGCCTGTTCTCTGCTTCTGGCTACAAGAAAATGACTTGCTATTTTTCCTGGTTTCAGAGTTGAAATTTTTTGGCTTCGGTCGGCATATCGTCTATCACATCATCTATGGAGGGGAAACTGAGTCACAGAGCAGAGACGTAATTGTCAAGGTTGGTTTCAGAGTTGAAATTTTTTGGCTTCGGTCTGCATATCGTCTATCACATCATCTATGGAGGGGAAACTGAGTCACAGAGCAGAGACGTAATTGTCAAGGTCATGGGAGGAAGCAGTAGAGGCAGACCACTTGCCCAAGAGGGTGCAATGACAGGTACAGTGAGAAAATCACAGGACAAAGAATCTGAAGGCCCAAATTCTAATCCAGGCGCTGCATGTCACAGGCTAGGTGACCTTGGGTGACTAAGGCCCAGTCGTTTCTCACCTTTCTATTCTTCCATCCATGAAATGGAAGGACTGGGTTACATGCTGTCTGGGGTGCCTTCCCCACTATGACCCTCCACGAGTCTGTGGTCTTCCCCTACCTCAGCCTGAGTGTAGCCAGGAGGAGGAAGACTGCCTGATCACGGCTGGCCCTCGTCTCTGGCCGCCAGCATAGCGCAGGCTGCACAGCCTCCCCTGTGTGCCAAAGCCCTCGAGGGAGGGCGGGTGAGGGCAGCCGCAAGACACTGTGCCCACGTTGGTCGTGGTGCACTGCAGCAGTGTGGCTGTGTCCCAAGCAGGATGCGGGCAGCAGAGCCTCCCCTCTCACTCTGTTTAGAAACAAGTCACACACTCCTGGTCTTACTTCAGTAATGAAATGTACGCGGAATTGATGCAATTGGGCTTTCCAAACAGTTTATTTAGAAGGGGAGTTTTAGTCTCCTCACTCAGACACACACACACACACACACACACACACACACACACACACTCTTCCTCCTTTATTTTCCTTTCTTGGGCTCTGAGTTTGTGATAAATTCAAAACCTGGAAATACCTACATCCCTGACTGCCTTCTACCTCTCAGTGTATCTCTTCTTCCTAACCCCTTGTGGGTTATATTAGAATATGCTATCTTAACCATATCTGCATTTAAAGTGCTTCTCTCTCCTGGAATTTTCTCAATTAAGTTCGTACCTTAATCTTAAAGAATATTAACTTTCACAGAAGCAGGAACAGGAATTTCAAGAATCACAGACGTGTCAGGACAAAATTGACACTTGGTGGCAATCTTGTACATTTCACATGCATGAAAAAATTTTAAAAGTGGTTTTCTTGAAGGAAAACAAAAATAGAGATTTCCCAAACTGTTGAGAATTTGCCAGTGGATGGAGAGGAATTTTCCTCTCCTCTTCACGCCGGGTCTACCTCTGCCCTTCTTGATAAAACAACGGTGTTGACTTGTCTGGTGCAAAGCAGACTGTCGGTTCGTTACCTCTGTTACTTCCTGGGCGTCAGGCTGCAATTCTCAAACTTCTGAACAAGTCCCACCTTCTCCAGAATTAAGGATTAAAGACTCTGCAGAGTCTCAATCTTCTGTTTTTGTTTTTGTTTTGTTTTGGTTTTTTGCAAGAAAAGCATCTTCAGGTGAACAAATCTGGGAGGTGGGGCAAAGCCTTGGACCTAGTTGTGTGAGAGCGTGGGGAGGGAGGAGGCTCACGGAGAGGTGTCTCTATAGGAGTGAGCATCCTGCAGTGTCAGGGGTTTAAATTCAACCGGCGGGGGGCGGGTGCGTGGTGGGGGAGACCATCCCTGCCGCCTGCAGCGTTGACTCCCGGCACCATTTGGGTGCAGGGACCCAGCTGACACTTCTTACTTCGGGTCCTGCCTCTCCAGGAGCAGTCTGCAACTTGCCAGCGTCCAGGCAGGACGGCAGCGGCTGAGCAGAGGAGAGAGGTAACTTTCAGGGTGTTGGTTTCTGGATGCTAGATCAGCTCATTGACACGCTCCTTGGATAGCCAGCAGAAAGATCCCCTTTCCTCTGGGTTTTAAAACGCTTTCTCCCCTAAGAAGCTGGAGTCCTCTGCCTGCACTTTGCAGAAACTCTGGGCACTAGGAACTCCATCCAGGTCCTTCCCCGATGGCTTACCGGCAGAGCACTGTGGGGAGAGCTGAGTCAGTTGCTCACAGGAGTAAATTTTTAGGAATATTTTTAAATTGCTGTTTGAATTCTTTATTTATTTTTTGTTTTTAAAGATTGGGTTTCTCTCTCATGTTGGTTTTATGTTTGCACCTTGTATTTTAATTAAGCTACAAAGGGTGTAAGTTTGTGGAGGAGATTTTGGTGAAGGTTTTACGATTTAAAAAAAAAATCTACTCCATTGCAGTCCCGCTGCAGTCCCAGAAACCTGGTTTAACTGCAGAGGCTCTCACGGTACAGCCTGCTTCTCCTCTTTACCCTTGCCAGAGTCTGAGCATCTGGTTCCCACCTGCCTGAGTTCTCCAAGCCCCCCATCCCCATCTCCTTGCCCACCTACCCTCTGCAAAGGACCCCGGTAAGTTGGCTGATGTCGGTGACAGTTGGGGTTTGAAGGAGAATTTGGACACTGCAGCTTTAAGAATGCCGTACTGCGAAATCTTTCTCCTTCAAGTGACTGCAGACCGCAGCAGCGGCAGCAGCGGCAGAGGCAGCAGCGGCAGAGGCAGCAGCAGGAGGAGTCAGCTGGAGGAGGATGAGGAGGAGGAGGAGGACAGGGAGGAGGAGGAAGGAGAGGTGGAGGGAAGGAGGGAGGGAAGGGGATGCTGCCCACTCTTGGGTCAGCTTGTTGGGTACCTCGGACCAGGGAGTGCTCAGCCCTGGGCAAATCCAAAGCACAATCAGGACGTTGACTTTGGGCTAGTTTCTCCCACATGCCGGGGGCGGAGACCCCGTGGACTTACTGATGAGTTGAGGCTTAGTCCTTGCCTCGGTCGCGTGCCATCCTGCCGCGTGTGTTTGCGTCTGGTTAAGTGGCTCTTTCAGCCATGTGGAATTGGGCCGGAGAATGAGGGTCTGGTCTCTGTTGTGATCCTTCTCCAGCCTGGCTTGAAACCTGGGAACACTGATGCAGCCTTCATGGTCTTGTTCACTGGGGATGGAGGTTTTCTTCTTCCGGATTTACTGAGATGAGCTTTGGAGGGAAACTCGAAATAGAATGATTAGTGGCCGCCGGGGCAGAGGCTGTAGCATTTGAGAAGGGGATGGACCTCTTCTGTGTGGGCAGCAGGTGTTAAATGATGGGAGCATTGGGTGCCAGGCAGAAGGGGAGGGGGCTCCATAAGGGGCTCGTCTAGATGGGATTGCATGAAAGCGGCAGGCAGCACACTTGGGGCAGTAGCTCTTTCTGGAGAAATACAGAAGCAGTCTGAGACGCGTGAGCTATGGTCTCTGGGACCCAGACTCCTATGCACCCAGCCAAAGGGTCTCCCCAAAGCCATTGGCTGCCTCAGTAGGTGCCGGCTGGAGGAGCTTCCAGGCTGGCACTGCTGGAGTGGCATTCCCTGACACGCAGAGCTCAGATCAGTCTGCATGGGGGGGGTCGATGTTATATAGCGCCAACAGCGGCATCTGCCCAGGTGGTCCTGGGCACTAGAGGGCTGAGCTCCTTGTGATCCCTCCTAAAGCAAAAGGGTATCTTTTTACAAAAAAATCTTAGATCTCACCATAAATCACTCAAAGGATGTGCAGCAAACCTCTCAGATATAAATTATCCAGGCAAGCCCCTGAAACAGCAACTGGGCTCTTGGGAATGGCTGAGGCTGCTGGAGCCACATGAGCCCTGTGGGTCCCTGCATTGTGCTCTGGTTATCACTATAGACAGGAGCGTGAATTGAAGGCTCCTGCTTAGAGAACCTGCCTGTACTGTGGCAGGAAGCTGCTGGCATTGAAACTCCTTGGGGCATGCAAGGTGCACATACCAAACACTGCAGTCATTTGGGGGAATTTGGGCTCATAGACAAATGGTTTACGAAGTCTTAGACCAAAACATTGCCTTGACTAGAAAAGCACTCTGCAGGCTGAACACAATCCCCTCCCCCAGAATTAGGAGTGACTTTCTACTGACTGCTTTCGAAGTCCCCGTTCCCTCCTTGTAGCCGCGTCTCTTGCTCCATTTGAAAATACATTCCCTGTATATTGAAAACCATCTTTGACTTCTGTCCATCAATCTGCAGCAACTTAAATTTTCCAGACTAACGTCCCTGGCCACGAATGATTTTGAGCCCAGCACACCCAAACGAGTCATTGGGGTCCCACGCACCAGGGTCTTTTGAAGTCAGCATGGTAGGATGCTAAGAATGGAGGCTCACCCATGCAGCAGGCTAAACCATAACGCACCCCAGCCTCTGACTCCCAGCCCTGGAAGCTGCGAGGACCAGCTGTTTGTCTCTGGACTTTTAGTTTGCCCTCACCCATGGGATGGAGGTGTCTGTGACCTCTCCACCCTGGAGAGGGAGAGAACAGACCTGGCCTGCCCAGACACATGCTTCTCTTCTGGTGCCTCCCTTCCCAGCCTGGATGACAAACGAGTGTCCTTCTTGCCTGGAATCAGCCAAGGGAGAGGCCTGCTGTGCCACTGTTGGCTCCCAGCACTCTGTCCCTGCCCACTGTCTCTGGTCCCCTACGGGGAGGTCAAGGGAGACAGAAACTTCACAAATGGGTCCCAGGGACGAGCAGATGACTCCAGTGGGGCTCGTGTAAGGAACTACACAGGATGAGATGACAAGGGACGGCTGCCCTGGCCTCTACAGTCTTCGTACGGCCGGAGGCCTCCTTCCCTCAGGCAGGCACTGTCTGGGCCAAAGCCACCACAGGGTGTTTGGGAAGAGGAGGTGCAGCTGCCAAGGTGACATGAGACCCTCAGGGATGGGCAGGTGATGGAGGGATCTTAGCCTGGGACACCTTCATCTCTCAGGCAGCAGAACAGGGAAGTCGGCTGCTAAGTAGCTAGTAAGACAACAGCAGAGCTGGGGCGGTGGGGGCTGCATTTCCCAGGCAGCAAATCCACTGCAGTGAATGAAATGATGACCACCACACCACCCAGTCACCCCCATGTCAGATCCACTCGCTTTGCGGTTGTCCTTGTCTCCCCACGTGTCAAATCCCCATGGCCTTGTCTGTGACCCCACAGTAACATCTAGGGGGTTCCCCGGGCCTGGGTTGGGCTTGAAAGAGAATTCTCTCTTTCCATTCCCCCAAGGCCTCAGAGCAGGGTGCATTACAGTCCATCATCGTGGAGGGGAAAACATGAGACTAGAGCTGGTTTCAGAATTAGATGGGGGTGCATGACTAGGGGGTGACACAGAGGGGCGTACATTTCGGACACCCTGACCATGCCGTGGGCCAGGCTCTCCAGGACACCTCCCAGTGCACCAGTGCTGACTCAGGGGTATTTCTCCAGCTCGCTGCGCTCCCATCCCTTGCAACTGCCCCAGCCTTGGCCAGCCCAGCCCTTGCAGCCGGCTTCTCCCGGTCTCCTTGCGCAGGGGCAGTTAGAACCCAAGCTGCTGCAGGCCCTCCCCCGCCCTCCCCGCCCGCCTGCCCGCCGCCCAGGCCAAGTCAGCAGTGCTGAGCGCTGCGGGGCTGCAGCAGCAGCCGGCGATGCGGAGACCCTGCACCACTGCTCCGGGCGGCGCTCGCGTCCCGACGGCCACCTCCTGGCGGCTGCGCGCAGCCGGCGCCGAGACCCAGACGGACGCGCAGTGCTGATTGGTGCAGTGAGTGAGTCTCCGGCTTTATTTAGACCACCTTTTCTTGACGACTGTACTTCATTGGAGTTGAGGGCTGGGAGCAGCAGGCAGCCTTCCCCGTGGGAAGGATGACAAATGGGGAGTGCTGCTTCTAGGTGCTCGTACCAACTGGCTTCGTGCGTCCTGGGATGGGCGGTGTTCATAGGCGCTTCGGGGCTGAGCGCCCACCAAGTGTGGCGCGCGCTTTTGGGAAACTTCGTGGAAGACCAGGACCGACCCCTGGAGGATTAGGAAGGCTTTGAGACCAGCCAGGGGGAGCCGTGTCCCGGGCCCTGACTGTGGATCTCCTACTCTGAACCACGGACTCAAGTTTGGAAGGCCAGGCTGCCTTTTGGACTGGGGGGTAAGGAAGGGATCCCCAGCTCAGGCAGCCTTTTGGGCTAAGGCAAGGGGACCTCTGGGACCACATTTTTGAATGCTCCCACCCATGATTTCTGGGACAGCTACTGGAGACAAATAGAGGCTCGAAGGTGTCGGGAGAAAGGCTGTGTTCCTGATGTCATGTAGTTGAACTTGGATGTGGAGGAAGTCCAGCTTCCCCCGCAGAGGAAAACAGAGCCAGCGAATGTGGGTGGGGGCCAGCAGCTGCCGACCCTCCTGGATGATGTGATGGGCTTAGGTGGTAGGAGCCAGGGGCCTGGGGCCAGAGAGGGCAGCCCTAGGGGGTCCAGACAGCACCTGCTGCCCAGAGCGGCAGCCTTTGGTACAAGTCTTTATGCCAGTGGCACAAAAATGTCGCGCAACGAATCCCCAGGGGCCCATTCTTGGCAAAAGCCCTGTCTCCCAGCAAGATGGGAAGTGATGTCACACTGCACTCTCCGGCCCGCTCTTCTGGGGTTGTTCGAAGTGGTGAGGTGGTTCGGTGACTGATGCCTCTCACTGTCCCAGACCTTGTGCTTCCGCTGGGAGACCCTCCACCCTGGTGGCTGCTTTTTCCTGTCCCCACGCGTTAGCTTGAGTATCTCCACCTTGGAGGCTGCCCTTGGAGGCTGCACTGCGCTGGGAGGAGAGGGAGACTGGAGAGGGGGAGGAGGAGGAGATGGCAGCGGCAGTGGAGCCCTCAGAGCCTGTGCTGTACCGTGCTGATGTCATCACTTTCGGAGACCTGCTCAGGCCTGTGGCTGCTCCAGAATCGGCACCAGGAGCCTCTTGCTCAGCCTGGGACAGGC